CACTTCATATTATTATAGGCATGGATCATCACTAACATAATGGAGTCATTACATTGTGATCTATTCTGAATAATTCATCATTTAACAAACTGATTTTTTCACTGGAAAATCAGCCTGCCTTACTGATTAATGGTGGAATTAAGCTCACAAGCTGACTTGAAAGTATACTTTAATTGTTGGATTGAATTACGATGCTGATCATGGATAACTTGCATTGAGTAACTCAAGGAAATGTGTCTGATTTAAGCGAAGGTGAACATGTTACAAGGGTCGTTTGCCAATCAGAACTGTAATAAGAATTCATTTTAAATTACAATTCAATACCTGGATTTTTGAATCGAGGAAGCAAACAGAGTAAAAATTCAAAGAAATTCATATAACCGCAAATCTCACCAAAATATTTTTTTTTAAAAGATTTTTTAAATAGTTTTTTTTTGCTTCAATTCAAAGTTTGTTGTGAAACACCTTGTAGCTGGTCGGTTTGGTTCATGGATTGTAATTCTTTAACTAAGACGTTTTAAAAGTCCCTATAGGGGAAAAAATTCAGTAGCACCTCATTGCAGTACACGTGATCCAGGGGGCGGAGTTGGATCCAGATCTAAGGGGTGGAGATGGGTAGGATTAGGGATGGGGTTAGGGATCAGGGGGCGGAGATGGGTAGGTTAGGGATCAGGGGGTGGAGATGGGTAGGATTAGGGGTGGGGTTAGGGATCAGGGGTGGAGATGGGTAGGATTAGGGGTGGGGTTAGGGATCAGGGGTGGAGATGGGTAGGATTAGGGATGGGGTTAGGGATCAGGGGGTGGAGATGGGCAGGATTAGGGATGGGGTTAGGGATCAGGGGGCGGAGATGGGTAGGTTAGGGATCAGGGGGTGGAGATGGGTAGGATTAGGGGTGGGGTTAGGGATCAGGGGTGGAGATGGGTAGGATTAGGGGTGGGGTTAGGGATCAGGGGTGGAGATGGGTAGGATTAGGGGTGGGGTTAGGGATCAGGGGTGGAGATGGGTAGGATTAGGGATGGGGTTAGGGATCAGGGGGTGGAGATGGGCAGGATTAGGGATGGGGTTAGGGATCAGGGGGCGGAGATGGGTAGGTTAGGGATCAGGGGGTGGAGATGGGTAGGATTAGGGGTGGGGTTAGGGATCAGGGGGTGGAGATGGGTAGGATTAGGGGTGGGGTTAGGGATCAGGGGGCGGAGATGGGTAGGTTTAGGTATATGTAAGGTGGGAGGAGTTGGATATGGATCCAACTCCTCCCCCTGGATTTCGTGTTCTGCAGTGAGGACCATCTCAAAAAATTGGGAAAAGTACTTCTGGAACCAAGGGCTCTGTAAAATTGGGCGGCCAGGCACTATTGCTTTTCAGTAAATGCTACTTCCTGTTATTGCAATTCCACTTCCTGTAGGCTGTAGCCAATTCAATTAAAATTCACACTTGTAAACTGAAGGAGAAACAAGGGTTAGGGTTAGGGTGGGTTACCATAACCCTCACCCTATTGGTGAACAATTGCCATAGATACAGTCAGCAGCTTTTATATATGAAATATCAGATCTGCGCAGGACAATCTTGTTCTATAGTGTGAGAAGAAGTTCATTAGTCAGAGAAACGTGAGCGTTTGCATCGACTCCCTCTGATTCTCCAGACTTTATAATTGGAAGTTTCGACTGACAATCGTTCAGCCTTAGTCAAACATCATAAAATGCCTAATGAATATGTCTTCCTAAAAGATTTGCACCTGCATCAGCCAAAATATCAGTTAAAACACATCATCAAATGACGGTTTACAAATTCAACCCGTCTCTGTTTAACCTGGCCTTAATGTGAGCGCAACCCAACCGACTAACAAACCACACTGTGTTTACAATACACAAGTAGATGACTCAGTGGAACCGTCAACACACTGCATGCTTAAATAAGGAATATTCTGTGAATATGTTTTACATTATGTTCCCATTGAGGCAATCTTTCCCAATTGAGTGCAAGTCGATGTTCTCAAAGGGATCCACTGTTCTGAAGCTCTATCCAGCACGAGTCATTGGTTAGTGAGAAGGAGAGAGCGTTACGTAACAGTTTATGCTGACTATAAACTTGGAATTATTGTGAATTGTGCTGTAGCCTATGCCAACTGCAATATCCCATATCTGGTTTTGAACAGCAGACTAAATGTTATCTTAAGCTAAATGTCACAGTAAACTATTATTCGCCTGTATCGCCTTGCTTTTATTAAAAACAGATCTGAGTAGTTAGTAGGCTACGGGTGCACTAAAATGATGATATTCTTTTTTGTTGTGCTTCTGTTTTTCTAAACCTGTGGTTTCGTTTGAATAAGGAAATTGGTTCTGCTGCTAATTCCAAGATTTCAGAGGAACTCTGGATTCAAACACAGGGCTCCATGATTCTGTGATGAGAAGACCGACGACACACACACATAGGCTATTCTGAAGGCTCATCATTTATATCAGTTGCACATGCCATTTTTGTACATCTTTTATTTTCAGCAGGAACTTCACATTTCAGAAGAAAGAGTTCTTGTTAGTTCTTCAGAATGACAGAAAGGGGCCAGTTTTTCCGTTTAATCGCATACGGAGTTGTATGGGGGGGGGGGGGGGGGGGGCAATGCTTTTGTAAATCATAATAGCATAAAAACATAATTATGGGTTTTTATCATAATCATAATTATGTTTTTATCATAATTTGAATTCAGTATAATTTACTTTTTAAGCCATAATTATGTTATAATTCTGACTTTTTTGTCATTGATTTTTGTCAATTACTTTTGTCGGAATTATGACTTTTTATCTCATAATTTAGTCTTTGTCACAATTATGACATGTGTAATTTTGACTGAACAATCATTTTAAGAATTCATATTGCATTTTTATAATTATGACTTAGTATTGTCATTATATTGACTTTTTATAATAAGATATACCGGTATAATAATAATATCTATAAATATCTAGATCTGTTTTGAGTTTTATGTCATAATTGACTTTTTGTCAATTATAAGTCATAATTGACTTTTTGTCAATTATAAGTCATAATTGACTTTTTATCTCATAATTTCAAACTTTTTGAAAGAATTTCGACTTTTTATCTCATAATTATATGTCATAATTAGCAAGTCATAATTTTTTTTAGCATAAGTATATTCCCTTAGTAGGCTATCTCAAAATGTTTGACTATCTCATAGTTTTTGACATTTTATCTCATTATGGCTTAGTGTCTCATAATGTTGACTTTTTATGTCATAATTTACTTTTTATGTCATTATTATGGTTTAATATGTTGAAAATGAAAATGTGACTTTTTGATGACTTAGTATCTCATAATTTATTTTTTCTTATGTGTCAGAAATGGGCTTCTATAAATAGCATGGTTTAAAAAACAGTAAAAGTGATCATGTATGGTTATTCTATAGCAGAGTTTTTCAGCAGGGTCTTGTAGTTTTTCGTTTGTGAGCTTGTAACTGGAGGGAAGTATGGAATCATTCTTGCAATGTTAGTCATCAAGTGCCTCTGAGACAAAACAGACTCAGTCCCCCCTCATTTAGACCCCTTCCATCCCTTTTTTTCATCTGTTCCTTTCTCTCCTTTTTAAGGAAATATGCAAGCGTCGCCAAGAAACATGGAAAAAACACAAACCCGTCGCTGTTTCACAAGCACTGCCTGATTATTCTGCAGAAGTTCAGCTGAAATGATGTTTCCTCTCTGCTAACTCCACAGTGCATGTCACTTCACACAGGTGCTTGACATCAGAATTTTTCCAGAGAAACATTTCAGCTAATCAGATAAGGGTCCAGAGTCCAGGCTGTCTCACAAAGCTGTGTTCATCAATCTTGCTTCAGTTCTGCACATTTGAAATATCTGGCTAATCTAATGCACATGGTTTAAAATGGCTGTGTCAGATTGAATACCCTGCATGCCAATTTGCATACTAAACATACTTGTAATGCAAGATTAATTAGTGCATCTTAAATCATATTACATAAAACAGGATGCCCAAAGTCTTAAACGATATGCTATTTGAGAAGGGTTTTAGGCGTGAGCATTATGCATGCATGTTAATATTTCCTACTAGATAAAAAAAATATTTGTACATTTTCATTAAGAATTTTTGCCTTGTGACTTTTTAATTTTTCTCCACTTTTTACTACGATTAAGCAACGACAATATTAATTGATATGATTTTTTAAAGTTAAAATGAACATAAATTCAATACAACAAAAAACGACTAAAAACTAAACTATCGTTTATGAGAATTTGGAAATAAATGTGTTTAACTATCATGAAGATAATTATTGACGGTTCATTTTTTTTATTTATTTAGGTAGAGAAAAGTAGCACGGAATCAGTACGGAATACGCAGCTGAATCTGTTAGAAACGTATACGTAGATAAACATTTTCTCAACATGACACCTTAACATAAATCTGTTCTAAACGTTATGATAACGTTTCTTTCTGAATGTTCCTTGAAATTTTTTTTTTTTTTTTTTGCTTGGTTATACGAACATTAAGGGAACATTGCATTTTATCATTTTACAAACATTATGAGAACGTAACTTTTAAAAAAAAACATTTAATAAACATTGTTTAAATAATGTTTTGTGCTAACGTTTCAAGAACATTATTAAAGACCAGATAACTTTGAACAAACGTTCTATTATAGTTACTGTTCATAACTTCGAGAGAACCTTGCCAAAACGTCAGCCAAAATTCTTAGAGCATTTCCTGTTAGCTGGGTTACTGAAACGTACTTTCAGATAGATTATCATAGACATATACACTAGACGTCACCTTGGGGTTCTAAGCATGCGTCAAAACCGCCGCCATCTTGGAATGGGTCTTGTCATAGGAAGTAGCTAGGTAACGCTGCTATCTCTGCCTTTACTTCTAATTAATTGATGGTGGCGGACTTTTGTGCTGTGTATGATGTTCACACGAATGAAATCTGAACTAGGAAGAATGTTTTTTTTTAAAAATATATATTTTTTTGTAAATCTTCTGGAATCAATGGTAAATACATGTCTGACCGTGGGAACGAACCAAAAAAACGAGAAAATCGCATTCATGATGATTTATGGTGATTTTATTTCTGTTAGACCTTTGTCTACATTGACGCTGATGCATTAAAGTGGAGGGGTTCCCCTGTTCCAAGATGGCGGCTCTATTGACGCATTCGTTCTAATGAACTGCCGTGAGATATATCCAGCTGCAGACCCGCAGCACCACCAGTTTCACAACCCCAGTGCCAGAACCCCAGCGCCAGAACCGGAAGTGAGGGAGGGGCGGAATTATTTACAATGACACAATGGTAACTGGTTATGGTAACACTGTAAATGGTAACATGGTTTTTTTTGCAAGTATTTAAAAATATTTCAGATTGTTGCACCTTTTAAATAATATTTAGGGTATGTTTTTATTACACAGTGAGTCACTGCTCGTTGTATGAACTATAACTTGTATGTGACAAATAAAGAGCAAGACAGCACTGGTGTTGTTTGAAGACGTAAGAGTGCGCGCGCGCGGCCAGGGCTCTCTCTCTCTGCTCGTTAAGCGCCCTGTCATGCGCAGCAGTCATTCTATTCTACATCACTCACCGATCAAAAAAGGCTTTGACGGGACAAAAATTTGCTTTGGCGGCCGCCAAAAAACGGACGATCTGACGGGTTTTAGAAGATTTAATACAACCTGAAACTAAAAAACAGACCCGACCTCTATTTGAGACCGGCCTTATATTTGCCAGACCTGCAGCCACATCAGGCGTGTAAAGAGACGATCGTCTATTTGGGACTCGGCTATTATTTGAAGTACGGTACATTTTTATGGTTTCTTTTAAAACAATGCCGGATTTTCTCTCTCTTTTTAGAGTTTTGACATTGTTCTTGTGAAATAAAGTATATTTTATATAAAATGACCATAAGTTTCAAGCATTATTTTTCACCATCATGATCAGGAAGTAACTCTCATAATACAATGAAACGGATAACTATATATAATTATATTACACAAAATCAATGTTTTAAAATGCTAATTGTACTATACCTTAATGTATCATTATAGCACGTATAAAGTATGACGTTTCGTGTGTAATAATGCCGTTTCGTGTCTAAGCAAATTACGCTCCAAAACGTTAGGTGGCGTTACTCGGTTTAGAACGTAAGCTCCGCCCCTCACTTCCGGTCCTGGCGCTGGTGTTAGAACGTAAGCTCCGCCCCTTACTTCCGGTTCTGGCGCTGGGGTTCTGAAACTGGTGGTGCTGCGGGTCTGCAGCTGGATACTATTGACTGCCGTAGCCAAGGCGACATCTAGTGTATATATCTATGTCAGATTATTAGCAAAGTAGCCAACATGCTTTTAGTGCATAGCATAATCATGCAACAGCTAAAATGTGTTGCAAGCAGAATTGAGAAACATTCACATTGGATACAAGGCAGTAGCCTATTGAAAAACAGGGTGATCCAGATTCTAATATCCAGACAGACATTCAATTAAGAAAAAGGAGGTAAAGTCCTAAATGCTTTCATCTGCTAGTGGTCTGGACTGAAGTATGTAGAGCTCAAGGTCAGATGTGACTGAAACAGATCTCACTGTGTTTGCACTTGATATACAGTGCATGTATGCAACTATGCACGCATACAAACATGCCACACACGAAGTGTATAAAAGTGAAAGGGTAGCAAAAAAGGATGAAATCCAGCTGGAAGTTGTTGTTATTCTTTTGTGTGTGTGTGTGTGTGTGTGTGTGTGTAAGTGGGTGGGTGTGAGAGAGAGAGAGAGCATGCACACATCTGTGAGTTTATGAGTGGCCATGGAAATGTGTGTGTGTGTGTGTGTGTGTGTGTGTGTGTGTGTGTGTGTGTGTCTGTGTGTGTGTGTGTGTGTGTGTGTGTGTGTGTGTGTGTGTGTGTGTGTGTGTGTGTGTGTGTGTGTGTGTGTGAATCGAGTGTGTTACTGTTTGATACTCTGACTTGTTAACAAATAGCAGATCTACTAAGTCAGAACCACAGTTCAATCCTTCTCTGACTCTTGGCATCAGTTTCATGTTTATTTTGCTTAAACGCCTTGTAAAATAGTTCCATTTGAATTTGTTTTAATGGCCCTATTTTATTCCACACAGAACAAGAAAAAAGGAGGCATCTTTGTACATTTGCATTTGACACACAAACAAAATTAGGAAAAATCTCACAAATTATGTAAGAAAATGTTATGCTTTTTCCACCATAGCAACAACAATCATAATATACACACTTTTACATTTGATGAGGTATTTAAAGGTGTGGTATAATGCCCTTTTCACAAGATGTGAAATAAGTATTTGATGTCCCCAGAGTGTGTGAAGTTTCAGCACAAAATACCCCACAGATATTTTTATATAGCATGTTAAAATTGTCACTTTTTGAGGGTTAGCAAAAACACACCGTTTTTGTGTCTGTCCCTTTAAATGCAAATGAGCTGCTGCTCCCGGCACAGAGGGCGGCGCTTCAACAGCTTGTTTCCTTAGCAGCTTTGATTACCTCACACAGACATGCACTGATCGTTTCAAAAACTTTTAGCCTTTAATGTTCAAACCGGAGTCAGACAAAGATGGAATGACTCAAGAAGAAGTGACAACATGTAGACAACATTTCTGAATGGTTTTATGATGAATTTATGTATCTTATGTGTAGTTATCTTTTAGTCATTGATTAGCATAATCTGTCTTGATAATCAATAAATCGTTTTCCCGGGGGCGGGGTTTATAAACATTTTAGGGTTAGTGATGTCACTTGCCCAGTCCCGTACCAGCCGTTTGTTGTAGTCCTTAAAGGGACAATGTGTAGGAATTTCTCCCATCTAGCGGTGAAATTGTATTTTGCATTCAAACGAATTGTGCTCTCCAGCGCCTAGCTTTTTCAAATGTGTGTTGTATCTACAGTAGCCGTTATGTACCAAAAAGCTATGACAGGATGTCTTCTAATAGCACTTATTTCAAACAAACTGCAACTTGACACAACGAACAAACAAATGTTACAGTATGAATTACTGACTGTGAAACTTGCTGCTCCTCCGTTTCTGCTGCTTTCAGTTGGCTCTGAACGAAAACGCGTTGTGGAAACGCGTTGGCCTAGTACTTTTTGACCCTCTCTGCTATTATAGTTTTTCAAGATGGCGGAACTACATGGAAGCCTCCGTGGACCTACCCGTCCCATGTATATAAAGATAATAAATTCTTCGTTTACGAGGATAAGTCAGATAATTGGCAGAGGTATTTGTACACCATTGAGGACATATTTATGAATAAAAATATTGCTTTTAGATAATAAAATACCTAAAAAATTACACATTGTCCCTTTAAAAAGCAATTTTTTTAAAAGAAAATGTCTCCCTTTTTGCTTTGAACTTTGAGCGTTGTAACTGCAGATGTTCTTTGTGCTCAAACAGCAACATTACACACTAACTAGAGTTAGAAAAGTGAAATCATAATCAACCACCCCTTTAAATATGGCACTTTAGTAATATAACCAATTAACTGTGCTTTAATTAATGATGCTTGCTACTTAGGATCATACTTTGTGTTACTTAGGATCATACTTTGTGTTAAATGTTCTTTATCGATGGTTCCATGAAGAAACTTTAACATTCAGAGAATCTTTTCATTGCACAACAAGGTTCAGTAAAAGGTTCGTTATGCTATTAAAATGTTCTTCACACTAAGAAAAAAAGGTTATTTAATGGCATCGCTGTGAAAACTGGCTTTTGGAACCTTAAGAGTGTGGCGATTGGAACAAACTTCAATGTGTAACTTGTGCTGCATCGAATGATATATACCTCAAATCATGCAGCTTCTCGAAAAGTGGACTCAAATTTTTTTTTTTATCTGATTGACACTGAAGTCAGGAATCAAGCTATAGGAACTTCTTTTGGCATCCCAGCAACCGTGAGCATAATGGTGGTGAGATTTGCATGTGCAAGTACCACTCCCAGTTTCTTCAGAAAATAAAAATCATCTTTCATATAGACCATTCGTTTCCATCTCTCTTCCTCCTGCATAAAGAGCTTTCTGTGCTGCTTAGTTTCTACTGTCTTTTGTAACCTGCTGGGTCAAAGGGGATATTTAAGTGATATGAAATTCCGTGGAACTTTGGAAAGGATGTGGAAGATCTTTTTTTCTTTCTCTTTTCTCTCTCACTCTCTTGTTCGCCTTTCTCTCTCCACACAGGGGAAATCCCAAATCCAGCCACCCCCTTCTCTCTACCCAGTCGTACAGGACACATGGCAGACGATCAGTAATTTCCTCTTCTCATGTGGCATCACATAAATGTATGCTTTTGAGGATTATAGTAGTTTTGTGTGCTTATTTTTTGTATTATGAGCAGTTTTGTGTTTACACGCATTGAGCAGGAGTGAGTTATTTACTGAGTGTGCACTTACTCATGTTTATGGGAAAGTTTACTGGAATATGAATGTTTATGTAGATATCTTTTGGTGTATGTGACTCACTGGACTGCATGGCACACGCTCTGTCAGATGCCTACAATTGGAAATACCTTCTTATGCTTGGCTATGTAATTGACTAAGGAAATGACTACGGCTGTAACCATGGTCACAGAATGACAAAAAAAAAAAAAAAACTTGGTAAAGCTCATGAAGACTCTCAAGAGCATGTCCAAGTCATATTTATCCCCTCCCCCCCCCCCCCCTCCCCCCCCAAAAAAGTGTATCTTGCATAAATGAAAATTAAGCCCATTTTTATGAACATTCAAATTGTTGCTATTCTGACATTATTTTCATTATACATATACATTATTTTGAAGTAGCGTTTTCCTTACTGTAATGCAAAATCATCTCATTCTTATCACTGTATTATGAAAAAATTTTGATATATCAAACGTGATATAACGTTTTCACGTTAACTTTCACATGTTAAAGGTATGGTAGGTATTTTTCGGAGAGGCTAGCAATAGCGAGCTAGCTTTGAAAGCATAAGATCCCACCCTCCCTTCAGAGCGTCTCCAAAGCTATGCCTCATCCAAAACACATGAACTTGCACAGCCAGAGCAAACAAAAGCGTAGTGAGAGGCGCCATTAATCAACTCATGTCTCAAAGCACATAACATTACAATAATAATGAACATAAACAACTTAAAGACTGACTGCTGTAGATTAGTGTTGATAGCGTTGCCATTGAAACGCATACATTTTAGGCACGAAACTACTTCGAGTATAACGACACAACTTTCCGTTTCTTACAAATAATGGTAGTTATGGTGTGAATGCAGCATAAGCTAATTGTTTTGGTTCAGTAGGAACTATGGCTGCTGTTTTGGTTGTGGTGATCGGTGACTGGCGTCTGTCTAATGTAGCATGTAATGCACTGATGACGTGTGATGTCTGCGCGAGCAGGGTGCGCAGAGGTATTGACAGGCAGGCAGGACATCGAATCATTGCTTTCGGTCTGCATGCAATGATTGGATAAACATGTTATGGTCCTACGCCTTCCACAGACTAATATACATAGGCCTACATTTAAACCAATTAACTTAGCAATTGCTATCAGGATGTGAAGAGACTCAACCAGCATAACAAAAAAAGCATAAATTTGAAATACCTGTGGAGATAATATCGCTATATAGATGACAAAATTGTATTATATATATATATATATATATATATATATATATATATATATATATATATAGGTGTGTGTGTTATTCAATTAAACTCGAGAACAGAGTATTTAAAGTCTTTATTAATAACACCTGGCTGTGTTTTTCTCAAGCATTGTCTAGAAAGCTGCAAATAGAACTCAAAAGACGCATAACGCCTGTTTCCTTTGAAAATATGGTCATTCTGCCGAGTCGACAGATGCTTCTGCCATGTGCGTTTCATTAATGCACTTCCACAGAAGAAAAGAGAGTTCCTGCGAATCGATTAATACAATAGGCTATACTTCTTAACAAAAAATATATAATTCAATGAGATGTCCTTAAACATGTGGGTGATCCACTCAACCCCCTCATCTTATCACCAGATATGCATCCAAAATCGTGAGGAGTGGGAGTATAGTGCATCAGTGTGGATGCACAGCGCCGCCATGCGGACAGACTAGGCATTGCGCAGATGCTCGGTCCTCTAGCGCCGATGAAGGAGGGACCAGACTTCTGTTCAAGCTGGGAGAAGCGCAGAGGAAACTTCTCCTGCAGCTTGGCTTCTCACTCACTCCCTTATTTTGGACTTTATTCTGATTTCTGCTTTACCCAGTTCGGAATGTATGCTTGATAACCCTAAACATAAATCAGCACTCGAAAAGTTCTTCAGATTTTCTGATCTTTGGTGGGTAAGT